TAAGCCAAGGCCTCCAGATAGCAGATCTGCCCATGGGAGATCCCATCAGGACGTGGTTAATCCAGGCAGAAATAGCACAAAGCATCATCACACTCACCTGATGAAGGAAGCCCTTGTCTGAGGCAGGAAAAGGTTAAAAGCCACCCCAAAACGCAGGGGGAGAGGGGAGGGAGGGAGAGCTGAGCCTCCTCTGTTGGTGCTGCCGGGTGTCCTCACCTTCCCCATCAGCCCTGCTCTCCACAGCCACTGGCACTGGCAGTGGAGGCCTTTAATTATCCAAACTGCTGCCCCTCACAAAATTAAATGCTGCTGAGGATGACTCAGTGTTTAATGGACTGGCTGCTCCTCACGCCGGGAGAGCCAAGCGAGAGCACGGCACAACTCGGCATAAATCACCCGGAGACACGGCTCACGGGGCCCGGTGACCCAGGGCTTGGAGCAGCCACTGCGTGGTTTAAACACTGTTGTTTTCACTCAGGATAACCCCAGAGGGAACTCCTGGGAGCAGCTCCATCCAGGCTGCCCGTGACCCTTCCCCAGCCGCCACCACGTGGATGCTGGGGACGCGCTGGATTTAGAAATCCCAAGGATTCACCAAGCTGGATGCACTGGGTTCTCTGTTCCCGGGATTTAGATGCGGTGGTTTCCTTTGGAGAGGTCTGCAGCAATGGTCAGATGCGGTTTAGAAGGCAAACAGGTGCCAGGGGATGTGATATAAAGCTTGATATAAAGCTTGAGCCTTTGCTCAGCCACCCGGGACGGCGCGGCGCTCGGGGCCAGCCCAAGCCAGCATGGCAAGAAGCAGCTCTGTTAATAGCCTCGTTAGTCTCACCAAGATGCTGAGCCTTTGGCTTCCAGCAGATAATTAACGATGTGCTCATGAATTAGGAAACCCTGGACCTCAACCAGCATCTTTGTGGAGGCAAAGGAGCTGCTCTTGGTTCAGAGCTGGAGCAAAGCGATGCCTGGAGGAGCAGCACAAAGAAATGGGAATGGCCAACAGGGACTGGCAGATTCTTTAATGGCAACACCAGTTTTTCTCCAGGTACTCAACACCTGGAGCTGGAAAACAGGAAAAAATTCATGGGAAATGCTGTTCAGGCTGCTCTGGGCAGAGGTGGAGGCACCATTCCTGCAGGGATTTAAGACATGTAGAGGTGGTGCTTGAGGACATGGCTTAGTGCTGGCCTTGGCAGCAGTCGAGGATGATCTTGGAAGTCTTTTCCATTTGAAGGATTCTGTGTGAATACAAGAGTCCCTAATGCTGGAGCTGCCCCACCAGCGAGAAAGGCACACTGTAAGTCCTAATAAAGCCCCACGGTGCCTCATTTGAATACAATTTACTGTCACTAATGATGCTGATGGTTATTTCCCCAAGCTAGGAAGTATTTGGCCCCAAAATGGGCTCCTGGAAGCAATTTCAGACGGCAATTTGTAATGCTGGATCTGATGGAAGCAATTTGCAACCCATTAGCAGAGATCGGCTGTGAAGATATTTTACACATCACTCAGCCCAAGTTTGAAGGGGGATGGAATTTTTCCCCCCCTCTCCTTTGGAATTTTTGTCCTGGATGGGGTGAACAGCTGAGCGCTGCCTCTGCAGCCTCAGCAGCTTTGCCACAAGCCAATGGTGACTTCTGAATTAAATCTCTTAAATTTAAAGAGTCCTGGACTGCAGGGCCGGGCACCTCCAGAGCCTCACGCTCCAGGAAAGAACCCAGCAGTGCCCAGCACCTCCAGCACTCACAGGACTAATTGACCATTATTAATTAATTTTCCTCCTGGAAAACAGTGGATGCAGAGAAGAAGCAGTTCGCAAGCCAGGGCTGCCTCCACGGAGGGAGCAATAGCACGGCACAACCCCAAAAATGAATGGAAAAGCATCACTTATCCATCCTTGCCCTGGGGATGCTCTTCCAAGAAGCAGGACGGGAGCTGGTTTCTGTAACTGGGGTGTGCGTGGTGGAGCAGGGACGGGCTCTGCTGGGAAGGTGAGAAAAAAGCCCCAAGGACTGAGTTTATCCCCTTGGCTCAAGCTCCCGAGGTGTTCCCAGATCCTGCCTGTCTGCCGGAGCCTGTGCTGGGAGCCTCAGCTCTGCAGCACCTTCCCTTAATTACTTTTTTCATTCTAATTAGATCTGAGGACACGCTGAGGGGAGCCCTGGTTATTGAATCCGTGCTCTGAGCACCCGTTTTTAACAGGAGGACTCCACCAGAGCCTCTCACACCCAGCACCCCTCACTAACCCCACCCCTTTAAACCTTTTTGTCTCGCAGTTATCACCTGGGGCTGCTGCCTCCCCACCCATCCCACAGCCCTCGGCTGGTTCCGCTGCCTCTCCCAGCAGGAATTAACACAAACCCTCACGTGGCTTCCCCAAAAAATAACACGGAAACGCTCCCAGTCCCCACGCTCCACTCATTCCAAGGATGCAGCTGCGTTCTCCCTGGATGAGGGCCAGCGGTGAGGAAGTTTCCTCTGGCTGCTTTCCTCCTCCCTGGATCCTGTAGGAAAAGGTTCTGGGGTGTCTGGAGCCCCAAGAGCTCCGTGAGACCTCCAGGAAATGTTCTCCATCCAGGGGAACAGCGGAGCATCTTCCCTGGGGTTTATTGTGCACTAGAAATCAAAGATTCACAAAAACCTCCACGCGTTCACCTGCTCCATCCTGAGACCTCCCTGCCTGCCCAGCCCGCGCTGCCGGGGGATTGACCATCAATAAAACCCCTGCAGAGAGCGACTTCTCACCTGGAAAAAAAAGAAAGAGGGGAGGGGGAACAACGGCTTCCTAAATGTCCTTGTCCCTTATCCCAGCAGCACATCCTTCTCCGGGCCCCATCAGGAGCGCTAATGGAGGGACAGCTGTCAAGGAGCGATGCCGACTGCAGGACGGAGCGAGAAGGGAAAGGCAGAGCTGGTGCCTTACTGGGAATGTTAATGCTGCTCTCCCGGCCTCCTGCCACGTCCCCAAGCACTGGCAGGGCTGTCCCTGAGCTCTGCAAGGGGGGTGCTGGCTCAGGGGGTGTCCCTGTCCCCCATCTCTGTTGCTCCCAGGTGCTCCCGAACTGTTAAACCCAAAGCTCCCGCTCGGGCAGGAGAGAGGATGCTCTGGAAAAAGATCGACCCAAGTGTGCCCAGGCTGTCAGATTTTGGGGACAGGGTACGTGCGCCTCACCCTGCTGTATCCCCAAGTGCCCACGCTCCCGTTTGCCGCGGTTCAGGTGAGGACACCGTGCTGGGAAAGGCCCCTCTGGGCAGGGACACAGCTTGTGACAACCCTGGGGTCCTGCTGTCCCTTTCCAACAAGACGAATCCTTTTCCATTTGACTGCAGCCACCTTACTGGGAGCAGTGGGCGGGCTCCTGCTGCAGCCTCCTCAGCCAGAGCCGCTGCCGGGGGGGCTCAGTTTGGGTGATGAGGGCACCCCCGATCCCCGGGGCAGTCACGGGGGGCAGTGGGAGATGTGCTGGCACTGGGGGGAGCTGGGCAGTGCTGTGCCACCCCCCTGCTCTGCCCCGGGGAGGAGCAGAGCACCCGGCACTCGGTGCCTCCTGCCCCGGGAGCATCCCGGGGACGATGCTGGGAAAGGGGCGGCGTGTCCTGAGCAAGGCGAGGACCCGGAGCCTCCAGCAGGGTCAGCCCCTGTCATCGTGACAAGCGTGACAGCCACGGGCAGCAGAGCAGGGCTGCTCCGGGGTGGACACTCGGGGACACGAGTGGCCCCATGGCCAGAAAAGGGCTGGAAAGCCACGGTGCCCCCCAAAAAGGACCAACCCCGGGGTGTCCCGGCGCTGGGGCCAGCACGGCTGAAACCTGAAGGGCGGGGGAGGCTGAGGCAAGGGAGAGAGGGGTCAGGGCTGTGGGGAAAGGGGGGTACCGGGGGGTTCCGGCCGAGAGAGGAGCCGGAGCATCCCTGGAAGGCGCTGGGGGATGGGAGCGGCACACGCACACGCACACACACATTACCCACATGCAGCAGCACCAACAGCCCCTGCCAGCGCCTGCAATCGCTGGAGCGCCGCTCCTGCGCCTCTCCCTCCTCCTCCTCCTCCTCCTCCTCCTTCTCCTCCTCCTCCTCCTCGCTGCCCACCGGCCTGCGGCACCCCTCACCCCTCCGCGGCCTCCGGCCCCACCAGCGCTCAGACAATGACTTCATGCGGATTATGCATCTGAAGAAATCACCAGCTCCCAGATAGCCACAGGGGGAGGTATCCATGTGTTTGGCAGGGAAGCAGCCTCCTGCTCGCCTTCCTTCTCCTCCTCTTATCTCCTCGCACACGGCAGCTGCCTCCTCTCCAGCGATGGTCGCCTGCGGTCCCCCCGCGATGCGCTGAGCGAGGCCCCGGCGCATCCCCGCTCCCACGCTTGCACCAAGGTACCAACGAGGCTATTTTTATTCCCCCCCCTCTTCTTTTCCGGTTCACCCGCCGCTGCCGGGCTCGGTGCCTCAGCACCGTCGGTGCCTGCACGTCTCCGGTTCGCAGCCGGTGGCCAAAGGCTCATCCCAGCCCCGGCTCCCACGGGCGCAGCGGCAGCGACACGAACCCGGCTCCAGCCACGGCCGCCGGCCCTGATTCCAGGTTTGCATCCTTGATTCCTTCATCTGTTTGTCGATGCGACGGTGCCATTTGTGGGAGGTGGAGGGGGAGCGGGGGGCAGGTGGTGGGAGAGGAGGGGGGAGATAAGGTGGAGGTGGGGGGGGGCACAGCGCCCCAGTCCTGCCGTGGGATGGGGAGGGCAGGGAGGAGGTGGGAGGGGAGGGAATCCAAATAAATGTATTTATGAGTATATATATATAATGTGCATATTTGTATATATATATATATGTAGATGTCTGTGTGTGTATATTTATATTTATGTAGGCTTGGGGGTAAGAGCAGGGCACAGCAAAGCATCTGCCCCTCGTGGGCACTGCCGTGGGCTGGGCACCCACAGCACCCACGAGGCACCCACGGGCTCCCCCTTCTTGACAGAGTGGCCACCCCGGGGTGCCGGCACTGACCATGATGGACCTGAAAGTGGACGAGGAGGAGGTGGACAGCGGGCAACCTGTGAGCATCCAGGCCTTTGCCAGCAGCTCCACCCTGCACGGGCTCTCGCACATCTTCTCGTACGAGCGGCTGTCGCTGAAGCGCGTGGTGTGGGCACTTTGCTTCCTGGGCTCCCTGGCACTGCTCGCCCTGGTCTGCACCAACCGGATCCAGTATTACTTCCTGTACCCTCATGTCACCAAGCTGGATGAGGTGGCAGCCACCAGGCTCACCTTCCCCGCTGTCACCTTCTGCAACCTCAACGAGTTTCGCTTCAGCCGAGTGACCAAGAATGACCTGTACCATGCTGGCGAGCTCCTGGCCTTGCTCAATAACAGGTGGGTGCCCGTGCCTTGAGGTGGCCCCAGGTGACATCTCAGTTAGTCTGAGCGCAGCAAAAAGAGCCACCAGGTCCTGCCGATGCTCCTGGGCATGTGGCTCCTACACTGGGTTGCCCCAGATGGCTCCAGTGCACACAGCTGCCATCCCCAGTGTGCAGCACGTGCACCAAGGCCAGGGCCACACCCCTGGGTTCTTCTGGGGCTGATCCAGCACACCTGGCTTCAGTGCCATGTCCTGGGTGCCATCATACCTGGCTTCAGTGCCATGTCCTGAGTGCCATCATACCTGGCTTCAGTGCCATTTCCTGAGTGCCATCACACCTGGCTCCAGTGCCATGTCCTGGATGTCATCACACCTGGCTTCAGTGCCATGTCCTGGGTGCCATCATACCTGGCTCCAGTGCCATGTCCTGGGTGCCATCATACCTGGCTCCAGTGCCATTTCTGGATGCCATCACACCTGGCTCCAGTGTCATTTCTGGGTGCCATCCCATGCAGTGAAGCCACTGAGCATGATCCACACCCCAGGGTGGTGCCATTCCTTTTGGGCCCCTCACCCATGGCTGTGGCAGCTCCTTGGTGCTGTCAAGAGCCTGGTTCACCCTCTGCCCATGCCAGTGCCCAGGGGCTTCGCTGCTGCCCCCACCCCTGGGGTTTTCAGGCAGGACAGCAGAGCTGAGACCCAGCACATTCAACCCATGTCCCAACCAGGCCACCACCTCACCAGGACGCCACCAAAGGCACAGGGCAGGTGGCTGGGTGGCCTCAAGCAGGGCTGGTGCTGCTGGACCAGCACTGTGGCAAGTGGGATGGGCTTGGAACGTGGCCACTGCCCAGCTTCTCCTCATCCATCCTTGTGCCATCTCTCGTGTGCCTCTGGGCCACTTTGTGCCGTTGGATGCCCTGGAAATGCCACGTGCAAGGTGGGGCTGTGCTGAGCCCACACAGGGGTGGCTCCTGGGATCCCCATGTGGCTTTTGCCAGTGGGAGCAGCCACCAGAGCCAGGCCTGAGCCTCTCCCTGCTCTTTCCCCCAAGATACGAGATCCCAGACATCCAAACAGCCGACGAGAAGCAGCTGGAAATCCTGCAGGACAAGGCCAACTTCCGAAACTTCAAGCCCAAACCTTTCAACATGCTGGAGTTTTATGACCGGGCTGGCCACGACATCCGGGAGATGCTCCTGTCCTGCTTCTTCCGTGGGGAGCAATGCACCCCCGAAGACTTCAAAGTGGTGAGTGACCCCTGGGCCCTGCCCAGTGCCACCTTTCCCCCATGCAAGGAGGGGGTTTGCCCACCTGTAGCTGCTCCTGCCTCCTTCCAGCTCAGAAAGGACCGGCAGCACCGGCACTAAGGGGGTGTTGTTGGGTTTTGGAGGTTTTGGAGCTCCAGGTTGTCCCCAGGAGCATTTGTGGCTCCGTTCAGCTCCGTGGGCTGCTCCCACGTGGGCACAGCTCCCCGGGATCCTTCGGGCTCTGCAAAGCAGGGTAGAGCCGGGCTGGAAGCTGCCTTGGTGAGGAGGCTCCAGTGGAAAAGCAGGGATGGGTGAATCCCTGGGGCACACAGGTCCCAGTGGCTGCGTGCTGTGCCCTGCCATGGAGGTTGTTCTCGTGCTGGTGGAGCCAGCACACAATAAAGCCTTTATCCCTGAGGCTGCCTGGCCCCATCCAGCTGGGAATGAAACAGTGCTGGCTATTCGGGTGCTGCCTAATCAATTCGGGGCTGTTCCCCGAGCTCTGGCTCGTGTCCCCCTGTGCTCTTTGGGGTCCCCACCCTCGTCACCAGCCCAGGGATGTCCCACACTGGGTGGATGCAGAGCTGCTGCCCAGGTCCCAGGGCAGTTCGGGTGATTTGAATCATCAGCATTAAATTCCAGTGATGGGCTCTTTCCACGAGCAGGTGTCTGTTGTCAGCCATGAGGCGTTTTATTTGTTAAATGGAGGCACGTTGCAGCCCGGAGGGGGCTGGATCCCCTCCAGCAGGGCCAGCTCCAGCCTGTGCCCGCTTCCAACACCGGCTCTTCCCAGGGCACGGTCGCGTTTTCTGCGCCGAACCATCCTCGGGGATCCTCATCCCAGCTCCCTCCCCTCATCTGTTGGGTTTCAAATCCCTGCGTTCTGCATCCCCTTCAACCAGCAAAAGCCAAACAGGCTCACAGCTGGTTTGTTATTCCTGCCTGGATTATTCCTTGTGAGCAGGTTGGGATGATTGAATGGATTTGATTAGAGGACTCTGCTTCATCTGTGCTCTCTTTGGGGTGCCCTTGCAGCCCGGTGTGGTGGGGCTGGGATGGTGCTGGGATGGGGTCCTGGCACTCTCAGAAGCTCGTAGGGGATTGTAAATTCCTGCTGCTTTCTGTTCTCTCTGTGGGCTGAGCCAGGCTCGGTGCTGCTCTGGGCCTGCTGGCCCTGGCCAGGCTGGGGGTGCTGGGGACCATCAGCCCACGCTGCCCTGGTGGGACCCCCCCCGCTTCCCACACAGGGGCTGGGTCCCCTCTGCACTTTGGGGAGCTCCTTCAGTGTCCAGAGATGCTTTTACACCCCGGGCTGCCCCTGTTCTCTCACTGACCCAGAGGGGATGGGCAGAGATCAGGGAGAGTCTGGGGGTGCCACAGCCCGGGGCAGATGGGGACAAGCAGGGGGTTGATATCAGGGGACAGCCTGGGGGTCAATGGGGACAGCCTGGGGATCAATGGGGACAGTCTGGGGGTCAGTGGAGCCCAGCCGGGGGTCCGTGGAGCCAGCCGGGGGTCCCGGGGCCATCCCGGGGACCGATGCCAGCCGCTGATGGGTGGCACGGGCAGCGCCGGAGCCCGACACGCCGCGGTGCCGCCTCATCTGTCCCTGGCACAAGCCAGGGCTCGGGGCAGCCGCGGCGAATGCAAATGAGGAGCCGAAATACCTGGGGTGAGGATGAGGCAGAGGAGGAGCCTGGATCCCCCCCCCCCGAGCACTGCCGGGATGGGGGAGCAGCGGAACCGGAGCAGGGACCCCCCCCCCGTGCTGGGACCCCTCCCCAAAGCACCCACCCGGAGCAGCCCAGGGGGGCTGTGGGGTGGTGTCACCCCCCAGGTCGGCTCACAGCCAGGACAGGGTCGTGCTGGAGGCTGTGGACAAGCCCGTCCTGGGGTGATCTGAGCTCTTCCCATCTCCTCTTTCATCACCAGCCACATCGGGGGTCCTGGCATTGCTCGTGTCCCCCCCTCCGGTTCCCCAGAGCTGTGTGCAGGGTACAGGGACACTCCCAGCCTGACCTGGCTCAGACTCAGCCCATACTGGAGAGTGAACCCTCCAAAAAACACCGGGGGGACCATTGGTGCACCCCAACTCTGCCCGGGCTCTTCACAGCCCCTCCAGCACCAGGGCAGTGTTTGGTGCCCACCAAAGCTCCCCCCACCCTGCAGCAGCCCAGGACAGGGACAAGGATGCACAGGGAGGTGCCCCAAAATCCTGGAGATCTCCTCCCCAAAATCCTGGCGTGACCTTAAAGCTTGGAGAGGCAAACACAAAGCTGAGGGGCAAGTCTTGACCCCCTTTAGGCCATGGCCCTGAGGGACAGGGGCTGAGATGTTCCCACCCCCAGGGCTGTGCCCAGAGCCGCACCCAGGGATGGGACAGGCAGGGACAGCCACGTTTTCCTTCGCCCCTTTTCGGGGCCACGCTCCCTGACACCTCATTAGCAGCACTGATCAATGTTTCACTCTTCCTATTTCATTATTTATGAGTCGGATTCCTCCCTCCCCTGCGGGAGCACACGGTCCCCCCTCACCCGGCTCCCTGCTCGCACTTCCTCCCCTCACCGTGAGGTTCCCCTGGAGCCTCGCACATCCACGGGGATCTGCTCCTCACCCAGCGAGGGAGAGACCCACGAGTCCTCTCTCTGGGCTCTAAATCCCGGGGAAAGAGGAGAAACGCAGAGGATGAGCTTCCTCTCCACACCCCACTACGGGAACTGTGGTTGCATGAAAGCTCGGGAAGGAGCCCCGTGCTGGAGAAGCCCCTTTTGGGTGGTCGGTGCAGCCAGGGGGGACAGGAGCGGCTGTGGTGGGGTGGCACAAGGTGGATTTGAAGCTTTTCCTTCTCATTCCCTGTGAAGCCATCCCGGGGAGAGCCCCATGCCGAGCTCCCTGTCACCGTGCTGCTCCGGGGCACTGTGGCTGAGCCTGGAGCCCTGGGCAGCGGGCATGGGACAGCCTGGATGAGCTGGAGAGGATTAAGACCTCTGGACCGTTTCCATGAGGCTCCGGGGCTGAGCTGGCACTGGGGAGAATTGAGTTTGACGTGGAGATCATGCCGCTGCCTTTTGCATTGGATTCTGCATCCTCTGCCCTGGAAACACCGGGAGCGCAGAGACAGAGCCAGGGAGGGAGCGGGGAGGGTCTGCAGCAGTCCCAGCAAACCCCAAGCACACTCCTCCTCTCCTTCCTCCCCTCTCCGGAGCAGCTCGTGTGCTGGAGAACAGATCCTGTTCCCCACAGCACCCCACTGCTCCCTGCTGAGCCTCCCCACCCTCCTTCTCACCCCATTGCACCTTGGTGATCCCCACTGCACACCACCAAATCCTGCTGCGCCCCTGAGACTCTGCTAAACCCCGACGTGTGCCCCTCTGCACCCCCAAAACCTCTCTGCACCCCTGGGCTCCCTGCCCAGCCCCAGCTGGGGGGATGTTGGAGCTCTGCTCCTGCCACCCCAAGAACATGGGAGCTTCTCCCCCTGAAAAAAATCCCCTGGTGTGGTTCAAACCCGCCCTGTTGGTGGCTGCTGGGGTGTCCTGCAGCACTTGTGGGATCTCGGAGGGATGGGCACAGTAGGACAGGCTCAGGGATGCTCACCCTGGGGGTGCTGCTGATCCCCTGCTCCCCCTGGCTCCAAGCTCCAACCCTTTCCACAAATGCAGCCCTGACCCCCCGTGGCCCCACACAGCCCCACGGCAGTCACAAGCCCGGAGCCCCGTGGCGAGCGGAGCTCCCCCGTGGCGCAGCGTTAGTGGATAATCACGGAGCCGGAGTGAGAAGCATCTCCAACACAGCTGGAGAGACCGGGCTCGGGAATTACAGCTACCCAGACATTTCCTGGAGCTTTTGACAGTTAATAAACAAACCGCATGGGTCCATCTGGCTCTGGAAAAACAACTTGGGGACAGCGTGTGGGCAACAGGCGAGGCCACTGGTCCCAGATAGTCCCGTCCTGGTTTGGGGCTGGTTCCCAGCAGCGTTCCAAGCCTCGGCAGATCCCACCACGGTCCCCAGCGGAGCCGGTGCATTTACAAATTCTGTAAGACACTCGAGTGATTTATGCAAATCACTCTTTAAAGCGGCACACAGGCTCCTAAATAACTTATAAGCGTTGGAAACTGCCGGCATGGATCCGTTGTTTCTGAGCACCTCCGGCATCCCGGGGGTGTTCCCAGGGGCCGGGCTGAGCATCCTCACCTGGATCATCCCAAACTCCTCGCGGGCTCTTCCCCCACATCGGCAGCAGAGTTTGACCCCCGAGGTCGCCCCGTTTTCCAGACGGATGAAGCAAACCCAGCGGGACCCGAGGTGCCTGGAGCGAGATAATCGGAGGTGATGGAGCAGAGGAGCCGCCACGCACGGGACCGCAGCCGTTTGCTGCTGGTGACTCGGCTCTCCCGGGAAATGCAGCGGGTTGGGAGTGCCCCGACTCTGATTTTCCCGTATCACTGTATTTTGCTCAAAGCAAATCATCCGGAAAGCAGCCGTGAGCTGTTTCGCCCTCGGGCACGGAGCAGAGACACTCAGGCGTTGCTCCTCAGCTGCCTCCTTGTCCCAGCTTCACCCAAGCATTGCCAGACCCGGTCAGGCAGGACTGGGGAGCTCTTGGCTGGTTGTGGCTTTGCTCACCCCACACTGATACGAACGTGGAGGAGAATTCTTGTGGGAATCCAGCTGCTCTTGGCTCTCCCTCTGCGGCAGAACAGCCCCGGCTGTGTGGATGTGTGGGACCAGCGCCCCTGAGCCCACCACGACTGATCTTGGCCAAGAAGAGGATCAGGAACAAAAGGGATGAGAACACAGCCCTGGCGTGGCACAGTCAGAGGCCACCACGTGCCTGCACCTCGCAGCCACTTCATCAGAGCTGTGAATGGTGCATCCCGAACCTCAGAGCTCTGGAAAACGGTGGGATTGGAGGAGAAGGACTTGCGGGATCAGAGTTAGGCTCAGCCAGTGTCGTTTAGTCCCTGGCTCTGCCCAGGACCTGTGTCCAGCCCCAG